TTGGGGAGGCAAAAATCACACTTCTTGCCTCATTAAAATGCAATTGAAAAATCTAAGACTGTTGCACGGATCAGTGCAGCGCTTTGCAAAATTATTTATTTCGTAGAATTGCACAAGTGTATTGGATAAACTAGAAGGAAACATGGAAGAAAAGAGGAGTTCTTTCCTAGACATAAACTGAAATATGGTAGCAAAACAAGAATTAAATTTTACTTTATAACAAGCTATACAGCTGCAAGTATCTGCTTTAAAGGCACGTGAGTTGATTTTATGGCCTTAATCCACCAAAGCCCTGTTTTTACAGGAGGGTCAAACATGTAAAGTAGAAATATTTCCTGGAAATATTTTGAATAAACATAAACACAAGACATACTACGCTGTTTGTGGATAACTTAGTGAAAATTAAAGATGAAATTTGCTGGCCTGTAGGTGTTGCAAACAACTGAAACATATCGAGGATCTTTGAAGGAGCAAAAAGAACCTACGGGGTCACATTTTGCTCTCGTTTTCACAGTGATGTAAATCCAGACTGAGTCGATTTGACCCAGTGTAACAATATAACTGTGGAATATTTCCAGACATCCATCAAGGCATAACTGCAGGACAAGCTGCTGGGAGGACTCGCAGCATCTGCCCCGGAGTGTTTCGGACCCTGACTTGCACTTGGGCCTTAAGTGTGCTCAGCTTTGCAGTGTTGGTCAAATAAAAGGTCTGGCTGCATAAGAAATGCTGAATAAAGACCTCAAATGCCAATGCTGTCAGCATTTCTGAGTGGTTTTACCTTTACACATGCAGGCATCCTGCTGACTCATTTTCTTAATCACCTCTAAAATTCACAGGGAATTTTAACATTCCGTTTCCTCAGAAGGCCATCAAAACACAAATTTATCATAGCAGAGTGTCAGGGAAACTAAAGCAGCCCAAGAAATATAAGTAGACAATTGTTTTTCATTGTTTTCTCTCTTCTGCTGCTGCAGAATGTTTTAAAAATACTTGAAGATGGGATGGATTGAGGAGAGGTACATTAAAATAGGCAAACATACAGAAAAAGCTTTCTTAAAAATCCAGAGAAGGTTGACTTTAAGACAAAAATAAAGCAAGGAAAAATCTAGGCTTGATTCTGCATGTCTGAATTAAAGACCAAAAACTTCTGTTCATTGCAGTCATTCCACATGCACATGAAATTTTATTATATTCCTATAGGAACTCTTTACATTTTATGCTTATATAAATGAAGTGAAATTTACTTTATAAAATATTTAGGGAATCTTCTTAAGAGCCTCTAAGCTCATTAGGCAGGTGAATTTGTCTTGGATTTGGCCAACAAACTGTTTAACCAGGGGAGAGCCACAGGCCCAGCTGTCTGGAAGAGGAGCTGGTCTGTACGGGAGCCAAGAGCCAGATGGAGATGACAGCCAGCTCAGGAGTTGCAAAATCCACCCTGAAAGGATGTAAAAAGATGGGAAAAGCTCTGACCACCGAGCTGATAAACACGGGTTTGAACTGCCATCAGTATTCTGGCTTTGAATCCACCCCTGTGCCCCCTCATCCCTCATTAGGGTGAGCTCAGCACAAGGCGGAGCTGGGGGTTAAATCCTGGGAGGAGCTGGGGGGTGCTCAGCCTGCTCCCTGCAAGAGCCTGCTCCACACTCAGCAAACAGAGAGCTCAGCCTGACAGAAGGGAAATATAATTAGGGTAAAGAATAAAGAGAAGCAGAGGAAGGAGGGCTCCTGTTACCGAGGGGTTATAGAATTCATGAGGCCTCCAGACACCAGCGAGGAGCTCAAAAGCAGCAGAGGAAGTGTGAGGCAGATTATTTCTCCCCTTTGTAAGGCAAATGACTAATTATACAAAGCAAGATTTTACTTTCTCAAAAGAGATTTGAAAGGTATCATGCAATATTGATACAGAAATTGTAGTTGATGCAGGTTTACAAGGCAAGTGGTAAAAGAAAATGTAAATGCAAACATCGTGTTTTTTCCTTATTCTCCCTGTGGCTCTTCCTTTTGTCAGAAACCTGCCTCAGTGCAGAAAGTTCTCTGTGAAACAGCAAAATTCCTCTAACTGGAGACAGTTTTAGACTTCCCCTTCTGTGTCCATTATGGAGAAGAAGCTGTGAGCTTAATCCATCTGAATTTCCATTGTTGAGTATTGTTGCTATTAATTTTACTTGTTTTTCTTTCAAAGGAAGGAGAAAAAACAATCCCTGTTAGAGGGAGCTGGATCAATACCAAGAAATTCTTTGTCAGATAAAATAAGAACAATCATTAACCTTGTTGCTTATGAATGTAATGCAAACTCCTCTTTTCAGCTCACCTTGTCCACAGCATCCCCAGCAAACTTCCCTCATTTTGCTCAGCAGTTAAATCCCAGCTCAACCACCCAAACAAACACTGTAACTAATAACCTTGGAGCTCTCTTCCTGCTGGATGGGTGGGAAAAAAAGGAGGAGATGTTTCGTGATATTCAAGTTCAGGTATTTTGATGATACGGACTCTTCAGTTTGTTTACTTAGGCCTGGATTTGAGGCTGGATTATGGATATTATTTATAGATCCAGCCTCTCTGGGAGCAGCACACGAAGATAGTTCACTGCCATTCCAGCAGAACATCTATAGAGACACATGATGTTATTGTCCACAACAGAAAGAAATTAGAACCAAGTTGTCTGAAATTTTTGTAAATTTTTTAATCTCTGACAAATGAGTTATCTCTCAAAATTATCAACACTATCCAATTCCAGTTGAAATTTATGTGCATGTTATAAATAGATTTGCTGTTACTTGTGCACAGTTAAGAGGCTACTCAGCAACTTGAAGAGTTTTTAAGTACAGGATGTTGAAATAGTGTGGAAGTATTTATACATTTGTATTTATTCACAAAATATTGTGGCAGAAGAGGTTTTCCTGTTTTCACACAGCTTTGTTTTGTAGGAGTCCTTCAAACAGGTGTTCAATCTTTTAATCTGGAGATCCAATTTCTACAACAGAGACAAAGTTGTACTGCAAGTATTTGCTTAATTTCTTGTTTCCTTTCCTTGCAGTAAGTGCAATTTCTCAATTGGACTCTTCTATTCATCTTTATTGGTGTCACTGAGTAAGAGGGTATTGATGCATTCCTAGAAAACAGTAACATTTCTTTTTGCCTCTTGCCTGATGAGTGGGATTCCTGAGTCTAGCCTTCTGAATTTTGGAGACTAATGCATTTGATGCTTGTTGAGAGGAACTTTGCCTGCTTTATGGCTTCTCAAAGGCTTTGCTGAGTTCTGCAGACTTAATGGTTCACCCTCAGTTTTCCACATCAACTGAAAAACAGTTCCAGCTCATTTGCCTGCAGAAAGACTTGGTGTTCAGTAGAGAGGGGATTTTGGTGCTTTTTGTTGCTACTGTTAGTCTCCTGTTGCTTCTTTAATTTGTTTTGTCTGTTAGTGCCCAGATTTATGGCCAGCATTAGTTAGTGCACAGAGCTGAGGTGCTGGGTTTGTATCCCAAGCCTCTTCCTCGACAGAATGGGAGGCAGCAAGATGCTGGATTTCTAAAAATCTTGTTTGCTTGGTTTCTTACAAACTATTGGCCCTTTGTTGGTGTTTTGGATGGAACCTGTTTGGCCAATTCGGCTTCTGGGAGCACTTGGTCATTTCTGCCAGTCCCTGAAGTGGGTTGAGGTTTCACCATGAGACTATTTCAAGTGGGACCAGGTGATGCAGGAAAGATCCTCTCTGGAAGACATCAAGCAGCACCAAACCAGTCATGGTTTTAGTAATCTTGAAATATATGGGAGTACTAAGCTAAGGTTCCTGCTCCAATCCTTCCAGCACACATCAAAAAAATAAATTAATAGTAGACAGAGGTTCAATCAAACCACTGTCAGAAGCTGCCATGTGGCAGCACCACGAGGTGGTACCTGGCCATGGTGATACTCAAAAAGCAGATAGTAAAGTCCTGTTGGTGATGTCAATGTGTGTGAAGGGTTTTAGGAAAGCTGCTTCTCTCCTGGCTGTGAAAGGGAACCAGAAGCAGTGTGCACAGGGTGGGGGTGTCACACCAAAATTCGACTTGCAAATCCTTGCACAAGAAGTCTGTGTCCTGGAGACTCCTCCAGGTTTAGGGGCTGCCTTTCAAGCAGGTTGCAGTGCTTTCCCCCTCCTTCTTCTGAAAATAGGGGACGTTGCAATGCTCTGGTGCTTTCCCTTCGGCTTTGTAGCTGCTTAAAAAGTTGCCTGGGAGGACTGGAGTGTGTGTACGAGTAGGGGGCAATTCCAAGGGGAGGGTCGCTAGTAAGGAAGCGTCCCATGTGCCCGGCTAGGTGAAAGCTGGGCAGGTTTGTTATGACATAACTACTGGAGGGGGGGGGTGGAATTTGTGGCAGAGAGAGCGGGGGAAGAGAGAGAGAGAGAAGTGGAGTCTGCAGCACCCTGTCAGTGCTATCAGAGACAGGATCTGGCAGCTTTGGGTTGAGCTACCACCTCTCCGCTCCACCACTCCACCACTCCGAGCATCCTGGATCTCCAGCTAGAAGGGGAGAGGGAGCCTAGCAGCGGCGATCATGGCAACGTCAAATGGCTTTATTTCTTCGCGACCTCTCGTTTCTCTCTCTCATCAATAATTCACCTGAGGGCTTTTGTTTTCCCCACTCCCCCTTCTCACTCTCTTGTTTTGATGCGGGAAGGGGGCCCCGACCAGCGTGTATTTTGTCCGGCAGCTTTTCGAGGCGTGTTTTAAAGAGCTCGCGAAAGGACCCGGGAAGAGAAAAAAGAAGAGAAGAAAAAATAAAATAAAAAAAAAAAAAAAAAAAAAAAAAAAAAAAAGAACGGCACAAAGTGGTGGCGGGGGGAGGAGGAGGAGGAGAAGAGCGGGAGAGGAGAGAAGAGACGGAGGGGAGAAGGCGGCGGAGAGAAGACTTCGAGCGCGGCGGGCGCGGTGCGGTGCCGGGCGCGGTGCCGGGCGCGGTGGCCGGAGCGGGGCGCGGAGCGGCGGCGCGGGCGGCCGCGGGTGCGGACCATGGGCTGGCGGCTGCTGCCCGCCGTCCTGCTCGCCCTGGCGCTGGGCGGCCCCGCCGCGTGGGCGCAGAACGACACGGAGCCCATCGTGCTGGAGGGCAAGTGCCTGGTGGTCTGCGACTCCAACCCGGCCACCGACGCCAAGGGCTCGTCCTCGTCCCCGCTGGGCATCTCCGTGCGCGCCGCCAACTCCAAGGTCGCCTTCTCGGCCGTGCGGAGCACCAACCACGAGCCCTCCGAGATGAGCAACAAGACGCGCATCATCTACTTCGACCAGGTGAGCGGCGGCGCCCCGGGGCATCCCCGCGGGGCCGATGCCTCCCCCGCCATCCTCAACAGGTGCCGCCGCTTCCCGAAATTCCCGCACAAAGTTGGGGTGCAGGGGCGGCTGCTGCGGGCACCCCCGGAGCGAAGGGGCCGGGCAGGGGGGAGCTGGAGGGGCTGCAGCAGTGCCGCGGTTGCCCCCCGGGGATGGGGAGGATGCAGGGGAGGGCGGTACCGGCCCCTCCGCAGCCCCCCAGCCCCTGGTGGATGCAGCCCAGCAACTCCCGGGTGACGCGGGGACCGAGCACAGGGAGGTGCCGCGGCCGCAGCACTCGGGGGGCACCGGTGGGGGGACACGGCCCCGGGGGGCTTGGGGACAGGGGGTCCTCAGGTGTGAGCAGCCTATGTAGGTTTTAGACGGTTTGTTCACCTTTTGAGCGGGGAAAGAAGAAGGAATTTCGAGGGAAAAATCCTTAAACTTTCCCAGAACACTCCCAGGTTCACGGCACAGCCCTGTGCAGCTCAGCACCAGTATTAACGTGCAGGTGCCAGCACACGTTTCAACACCGGCTCCTGTCCCGGGGCAGGTCCAAAGTAATCGAGATTGAGGGTTATTCTTCTTCCTACACCCTGTTGTAACCAACAGTAAATTGTCGTGACAGCTGGGGCCAGATATGTCACACAGCCCAATGCTGGGAGTGTGAAATGATCATAACTCCATGGACATTCCTAGTGGCTTTCTAGGGCTGTGCCTGGCATAAAGGAGCCTGAAAATAGCAATTAAAAATAAAGCATAACTAAGCGGAAAGGAAGCACAATCTAGTCATTAGAGGAGATGGGCAGCATATGGATGATGCACTCATTTAATATGTTCCCCTCTGTTACTTGTCTCTGTTTGATCAAACTCAAATTATTGTTAGTGCTTACAAAAACAACTGAAGCAGCAAAGGCTCACAGCCAGTTTTTCTGGGATGTGCCAGGTTTTACAGCAAATCTGGCTGTAAACTGGGGAATGAACTGCATCATTCATGTGTGTCCTTCCTCACAGCTTGGCACTTTGAGGAAGACAGTGTTGGCTTGACCATTGCTTTTTAAAACCATTTACCACTCCCAGAATTAGTGGTTTTGATGTCATTTTTGGGGAATGATCAATAAAAATGCTTTTACTTAATCCCCTCTAAACATGTAAAGAAGAAAGGACTTGAAGGTATGACATAGTAGCAAAGTAGGAAACAATTTCCACCCTAGTTTGTTTGTAGTAAAGTTGTACTATAAATACAACTAAATATCCATAGTATGAGCTATTCCAACTTAATTGAGAGAACATGAATAAACCAGCTTAGATGTAGATTAAAAATTTTCCATGGGTGAATGGTTTCTAAAGTTATAATCTGTGTTTTTATTTAGTACTCAATACCATTACTAATTCCCATGTTCTATTTTTCTGTTTGTAGATCCTAGTAAATGTGGGCAATTTTTTCACGTTGGAGTCTGTCTTTGTAGCACCAAGAAAAGGAATTTACAGTTTCAATTTCCACGTAATTAAAGTCTATCAGAGTCAAACAATTCAGGTACGTCGATCAAGGATATGATTGTAAAATCTTTTCCCTAAATTGTTTGTTTGGAATGGGATCTTGACTGAACACGGGAGTATTCAACACTCTTTCAAGGAAAAAATGCTTAGTTTACAGCAATCTGTGGTGTTGACTTCCTAGCAGCTGAGTGAATTAATTTAAACTGAATAGCTGAGACAATGTAAGATCCTCACCTCAGATAAATTGCCACAGCTTCACTCATAAAACTGGGGTGATACAAAGAATTCAATGAATGAATGATCCAATAGTAAAAGAGAGCTCTGAATTTCACTTAATTGCATAAATACTATTGAAGAGTTATATTTTCCTTCGGGTTAAACTGTCTGGAACTCAGGAATTCTGGGAATCCACACCAGATTTGACTATTTTTGTAACATTTTGACCTGGCTGACAGCTCCTGATGCCAGGTAGCTCATTATCCCCTTAGTCTGCTGTGGGCCAAGGTTAGTCAACGTGGTCTACTTGTTCTGTAACCACACCAAAATGCTGTATCTCTACAGGGATGTCTTCTAAGGAACCTTTATAGCACTTTAAACTTTTTTTTTCACCATATAATGTATAAAAGATGTGCCATATATTAGAGAAAAAGGAGTAATTTTGCACTTTCTTCTGTAGCTTAATAGCAGCTGAACTGCCTAATTAAATATAAATATGTACTAGCTTAGAGGAAAAGCCTCTAAGTTCCTGAACATCCCCTTGCTGAGCCAACAGTAAATTCCTTAGAGTGCATTCCTTAATCTTCATGCCAGGTCCCGTATTTTCTGTGACTTACATCCTGGCTTTCTAGATCTGGAATGACATCTGTGGCTTCCTTTGTTTCCACCCATGAGACCACCAGTTTCAGAGAAGTATCTGATGCTTTTCCCTGCTCTGTCTCGCTCCTGGATGTGGTTTTCAGTGTGCAAGGCTGAGGTGAAATGGATTTCTGCAGGAGGAGTGGTCAGACTTTGCTTTGTGGCAGCTCTGGCTCCTGGGAAAAGTGTAAATGGTGGAGATGGCAGAGAGCTGGTGCAGGACACAGTCACATCCCCGGTGAAATTTGCCTTCTGTTTACAGTGGGAAATCTTAATTCCCTTCAGGGCAATGGCAAAAGCCTTAAGTGAAATACTGACCTCATGAAAATCTCTGTAATGGGCTTATAAGCTGTTTAATGTCCTCGAACTTTGTTCTTTTCACTCTCTTAAATGCTGAAGATTGAAATGGCCTTGAATAACTGTATGCCAGCCACTTCACTGGATTTAAAATGCATATTGCCAAGGAAGATGCAAGGCTTGGTTTCTGGAAGTCCAGCACAGGCTGGTTGTTTAACACACCAGGGACTCAAACCTGGGAGTTTGGGGCTGGTGACAGGAAATGTTACAACCTGTGACATGGCCTGAAATATTTAATACATCGAGAGTTTCTAAAGTAATGAAAGTTTTGGCACAGTTAATGTGGGACCATCGGGTGCAAACCTGTGATGTGTCTTCTGCTGTGATTAAAATTGTTGTAAGATGCTCTGCAGGGGAACCCAGCCTAGAGAGATGGTACAGAAGGAGTGGGATAAATCCAAACCAAGCAATGAGAACTGAACCCTTGATGCCCTTTTTCTGCATGTTTGATACCGAGGAAGGAGAACCAGAAACCATTGCAGTGGAACAAACTGGCTTAAGTCTCATGCAGACTTTAAACACCACTAAATCACCCCAAGGCTTCCTACACAAGTGATATCACTGTGCTCCTGGAACATCTGTTAGTGCCATTAAATATCATTAAACTGCAGTTTGTTCCCCGGGGACATCTGATTAAGTGGATTTCCCAGATAGGTGAATCCCAAATAAGGGCCAGATTCTGCTGCCCTGACTTCTGCTGAGCAGTGATTTATCCCGTGGTGACTCCCATTAAAATTAATGGGAGCATATGCAAGGCCAGCACACTCCATACGAAAGAGCATTTCACAATTCACCCCTGTGTGACTGCATTAGAGCTGTTTAAAAAGAAAAAGCAGAGCTAAGTTTGCCATGGGGGAAACGAAAAATGCCTGGATCTGTCCATTCCCTCAGCCCTGCCCATCTCTGTTTGCAGTGTCTGTGATGCTGCTTTCAGAGCAGAGGCTGTGCTGACTTTCAGAAGGGTTTTACAGAAAATTGGAGCCAGTACCGTGGTTTACAAAGCTAAGGATTGGTTCCAGACTTTAAAACTAAGCTGCCATCGGTGATGGGAGGGGCAGAGATTTTGCTGCCACTGAAGTGTGAGCTCTCAGGCCACTGTGGTGCCTCTGACACCTCATTAAGTGCCTGTATCACATCTCTGGGGGCCCAAGTTTCTTGAAAATGCCTTTTTTTTGCCCCTGAGTATAAATAACCCTAAATAACCCCTGACACGGGCAAAGTGATGCAAATTGAGGTGATAACTCCCTCTGCAAGTCCAGCCCATGGAACACCAATGCGCTGGTACACACCAATTAAATGTAATTATTAGTTTAAAACAACCCCAAAACCAGTGAAGATTGGGACCTTAGCAGGGCTCTTATTCTGTAGTTAATATCCAAGGGTAGTTCTTGGTGTTTTGCTGTTAATTGGAGCTTTTCAGTGGTTTTTCTCTTGCAGGTTAATTTGATGCTGAATGGAAAGCCAGTCATTTCTGCTTTTGCTGGGGACAAGGATGTCACACGTGAAGCTGCCACTAATGGAGTCCTGCTCTATCTGGACAAGGAGGATAAGGTTTACCTGAAACTGGAGAAAGGTAATCTGGTCGGTGGATGGCAGTATTCTACGTTTTCTGGCTTTCTGGTCTTCCCCCTGTAAAGTCAATTTTCCTGTGACATTCATCCAGGTGTGGACTCACCATTGCCTCTGTTACATGAAGATCATTTTATCATCATGGGATTGATGTTTCTTTATTGGTTTTTCATGGATTCTCCCTATGGATTTTGGCCCCATTTGAACTACTCAGAAGTTTCACAGAATTTTGTGTGCTTAAATACGATATATTTGGACTGAGACTAAAGCAGACAATAAATATCTATGCTTAACATTACAGTCTAAAGCTGCCTGCAAGATTTATTCCACTCACATTTTCTGGACTCACTGGATTCATGAGAGAAGTGGATTTTCTTTAATTATGAAAAAAACTGGCAATCAGGTCTTTAATTTAGGAGAGTTTGAGTTCAGACTTCAATCAAGAGTTAGTGTGTTGCTGCCAAAGAACTGTATATTGATATATTGGTCATACATGTTTTTGTCACTGGGACTTTACTGCCATTGTCTTGAGAGAGGTAATTATTATTGATAAGTGGTTGACTTTAATTCTCCTCTGAGTGTTGTGTGTTGGATGGTTCACCCAGATATTTAAGCTCTGTCACTGCTCCCATCAAGTGTACCCCACATAAACTAAAGGGTCATGGATGTATTTTAGTCGGATATGAAAGATATTCCTCTTTTCCACCTGCTGATTTCTAAAAAGAATAGCAGATTATAACCATTAAGACAAAACTTACCAGGGTTAAAGGTGATCATTCAGGCACAGCTTTGCAAAACAGCTTTGCCCTGCAGGAAGTCTCACACTTATTCTTCAATTTTAATTAACATGAACGATAAAAACTGCTTTATTAAAATCCTAAGGGATTCCTTCCTTAGCCACAACCACTTTGTTAGCTGGAGATGAGATCCCCCTTGTTTGTATTTATGTGTATTTTTCAAACCTTCTGTTGTGTTAAATCTGATTTTGCCTTAACTCCACAACTGTATATAATTTTAGGCCATATATTTAACAAATGTTAAATCCAAATAGCTGGTACCTAACTTGGTACAAAAGCTTTTCAGCTTTTTGTACAGGTCACGTGAATTCATAAAGTTATTTATTATATCATTGTTACATAATAAAGATTAATATATGTCAGCTTAATTTTTGACCTTTGGATTTTGGAAGTTGCTTCATGCTATTTTTTTATTGGATATAATTATTATATGCAAAATGTAAGCTTTTGGGATTCACAGAAACTACCCCAGGAGGCAGGAAAACTGCCATAAGTTAGTCTGGCAGAATCCTAGAGGTAATCAGAAGGATCTAAAAATAACCTATGCATTTTATTTGAAAAACAAAAAGATTTAGGCAGAAATCCTGCCCTCACTGAAGTTACTGTTAAGAATCACATTGATTCCAAAGGGTTTTGGATGAAACCTGTTGCTTTAGGTTTTTACCATCAGCATGAAACTCCAGTGCCATCAAATTGAATATTAAATAAAATGATTTTCACAGGAGCTGCTAATGAAACCTTCATCCCTCGTGCCCAAAATAGACACTGAATCGATGGATCTTTGTGCCTTGCATATCATGAAGGATATGGTTCTAATTAAAAAATACTGTGTACTTGAAAATGTTTCTGGATGGAAGGACCTGCAGCAACTGGGACCTTCCCTGAGAGCCAGTTTAGGCTGGAATTTGCTGCTTTAGATGACCTGGTTCCAATTTGTTCACTTGTTAGTCAAGTGCAGTGCCGTGTTGCTCCAGCTGCTGTAAATGGATATTTCATTGATTTAAAGTCAGTTGGTTGGTTGATGCTCCTGATTAAAACACCAGGGAATCAGTGCCCAACACTGTGCCCAAATTCCTTCTTGTTCAACACCCAACATACAGGATTTTTTGGGCCATTTCAGGAGGGTAGGTGGGAATATTCCCCCTCTATGGGATGTCAGATGAGGAGGTGATTTTTTAGACACAATATTGAGCACTGCAGTTTGGGAAGAAGTGGAAGGACATGGCAATGAATGATGATTAATGATTTACGTGGCTGAAAAATATAAAAAATTATTATGACCAATCAAAAAGTGTTACTGTTGTACCCCACAAATGTGTGTGTGTGTATATATATATATGTATATCTGAACCCCCCTGGGATTGCAGCACATAGTATGCATGATGTTATAAAGAGGTTATTTGTCATAAGGGTTTATTTCAGAGGGGAACATCAATATTTTGTATAAGATTGGTAAAATCTGAAATCTCACCCATTGAAACATATGTAATGTAAAAGACATGTTGCTACACAGACAGAAGAAAAGTGGCATTAAAGGTGTCAGTATACTTTCAGAATGATCAAATGTATCTAACTTCTTTAATTTGTAAACATATCATCTTTAAAAGCTGCCTTCAGCATTCAGCAATAATCCTGAACTACCTTAATGTAGTGGTGATTTCCCCTTGGCAAAACATTTGTGGTTGCTTCAGTCCTCAACAGTTAAACTTCAGCTAGAGAGGCTGGGAAGTTATTCAATTAGGGAGTTACACTTTGATTGAAATATCCTAAATTTTTGCCATCAGCTTCTAAAATCCTTATTTTGCCAGTTAAAGGAGAAATTTCACTGGAGTCCCTGGAAAGCAGCTCCTGATATTGTCACACAATGCTGAGCACTCAGAGGTGGCCCTGGGGACAGGCAGGGCTCTCAGCTCACATTTAAATGTTTAAATAGCAACAAACTCTGGGGTTTAGACCACAACTTGAGCTACTTTGCAGATCTGGCACTCCTTTTTATTGTGTTGCCCCAGAGTTATGTCAGTAGGAGTCACTCCAAGAAGAGTCATGAGCCGGGTCTGGAAAATCCCATTTCTCTTCTCTCTCCTCATTCCCTTTTTTCCCCTTCTGCCTTCCCATGTTACTTCTACAGCAGTTTTCCTGTTCAGCAGCAGCAGCTCAGGAGACACTCCACATTTCAAAAAATATTTAAGATTAGAGGTTTGATTTTTTTTTAAAGAACTTAAACCTGCATTGAGCTGCACTGTAAAGGTTAGAGCTGGTTTTCTGATCCTTTTCTATTCCATGATCCAGTCCTCTTGGTTCTGGAGAGGGCAGAATTATTCCTCCCTCTGTATGTATCCCTGCTGCACAATGTGCTGAGGATCTACACCCACAGCCTTGAACATAAATCCACTTTGCAGTGAACTTTGTAGCTTCCAAAGGTTGATTGTGCAAGAAAACCTTTTAGCCACATGAGGTAAGGACAAAAGAAAGAACTTACTTTCTGAAAAGAACAGATATATTGTTATTATCTGTGATCTCTCTATTTTTTGATCTGTTTTATTTATATTTTATCCCTATTTTATTATAAAATTAAGGGAAAAAACCCTCTCTATTTTCCTTTCTTTCACTCCTGAGTGATGTAAATGTTGTTGGTAGAGCCAGGTCTCCCTGTTCCCCTGGGTTCACCCAGTGTAGAAACCTGCTCTGTTCTGTGGATTCCTGTGCACTGTGAAGAGTTTAGGCTGCACATGCCAAATGCCTGCAGAGCCAAAAAAGATACTGTTCAAAAGAGCCTGGGAGCAGCAGTGTTTTTGGAAAAGGCACTGAGGTAGCTTTGAAATTTTCACAAGCTCTTTTGTCTCTACATAAAAAGGAAAAACTAACTTTGAAGCATAGAGAAAGGAAAAAATTCCCTTTTTATTTTTTTTTTAATGCAACATTTTGTATTTATTTCATGTTACATCGTTTTCTAGTAGCACCTGAACATTTTCTCAGTGTTAATTGAATTACTTTGGCCAGGTCATGGCAGAGTAAGTATTGAAACCTCAGTGTTACTGCTGAGAAAATGGAGACAGTGTTTGGGTGTCAACACATCCAGTACCAGTGACTGGCTCTGTTCAGTTTGCTGGATCAATCCTTTTTCTGATATGAGGCATTTTTTTAAAACAAATTATAGTTTTGGAGTAAATGGCATTCTGATGTATTTCCCCTTTCATATTATATCTAAATAATATTTCTAGAAAGTCGAATGCAGTGAAACAGTTTTAAATGCCCCAAAAATTTCACAATTAACTCTCAATTCTTTTTTTTTTTTTTTTAAGCCCCCAAATCAACACATCTGCACATACAGTGTCTTTACAAGCAGGTCTTAGAGAGAGAAATGCAAGAAGCTGTGTATCATAAGCACAACAAGGAAGCCAAACCATTAACATGAAATATGGGCTGAAGCAGAGAAACATATAAATGTTCTGCTCCTTTTAGAAGAGGTTCTGAGTTTTACCTTAGCAATTCATTGCCCTTCATATTGTAAGAGCTCTTTATAGTATTCAAACTCTTTGTCTTCTAAAGACAACATTAACCAGCTGACTCAGTGTAAATAAGTGAAGGTTCCCAGTGACAGAATTTACTGGCTGGCACATGCCACAACAACATATTTTTTGTGCTCTTGCTGTCCAGACAGAAAAGGCTCCTTTGAGAAAAGAAATTGTCTTAGACACTGAGCTAAACTTATTTATCTGTTGCTGCTTAGGAATGGGGAGGGGAAAAAAACCCCTTTCCTACCCTAAAGCACTAAGGAGAATGCATACAAAGAATAATGATAAAATCAGTCACTGTTATATAACTGAGGATGAGAATAATGGGGAAGTGGCTTGAATAGTGTGTTTAGTGAGAGCTGTGATCTGAGGCGTTTGATGGAAGTGATCACTATTTTAATCTTCACAGGTTGGGGGAAGGGAAGAGCCAGTTGCATCATTTTTAACAGGCTCTTTTCCTTTTTTTATTCTCCTCCCCCCCCGCCATTTCTCTTCTGTCTCGTGGTTCTGCTCGGCTGCAAAGGAAAAAAGTGATCGGCAGTGACCTAAGAAAAGTTCATTTCTGAAGAGGGATGAGAGGTTGTTTGGTTTTTTTTTTGCTGGTATCTGATGTGGGGGGAAAACCTGAAGAGGAGAGGGGGGTAAAACAACAAAATAAACCTAAATACGTTCCTGACCCAGCATCCAGTTCAGTGAAATACCTAAATATGTTCTGCTTATACATGTAAGACTCTTCTACTGTGCATGACCCCGACCCATCCCGTTACAGCCATCATTTGTCTTCTGATGGCTTTTGGTCCTGCTGGAGGAAACTGGATGTAGAAGGGTAGTACAGAGCACTGGAAATGATCAAATAAAACAGCTTTATCTGTGTGTGTGTGGGCCTGGATTTACTCCTGCACAGCAGGTCCCTCCCCCTGGGGCATTTCGGTGTCGAGGGCAAAAGTGTGGATGAACTGTGACACACTTGGAAACCAGTTGTGAGTGTGGATATGTTGGAATCGCTGCTGACACAAGGAAAATACTGCATCCTAATCCCTGAGTGAGGAGTTTTAGTGGTGCTTTATATTCCTGATGCTGGTAGGAGGGAGATCTCCACGGCACTGGGCACAGTGACCAGAGACAAGACCTGCCCAGGTGGAGGGTCTGTATTGACCCCAGTGGAGCTGTAGGAGTCTGAGCAGTGCTGTGGCAGCCAGACAGGCTGCTGGCTGTCCTGGAGTTCCACTCAATTTAAAAATCAGTGTTTGGGGGTTTATTTTATCCCTTTCTTCGTAAAGCAAGGTCTGTTTGCAGTGAACATGTGGGATTCTCAAACAAAGGCCGTCTTTAACACTGACTGAAAATAAATGTAAAAAAAAAAGTCTACAGCAAGGCTGCATTTCTCTGAAGTTGAAGCCATGCAATTAAGTAGCAAAATGAATTAAAATAGTCTGTGCTCTACTACACAACTAAATATAAAGGAGTAAAATTGATTCTGGCCATGTACCTACAAACCAGCTTGGAAGCTCAATACAACAGAGAAAGAGCTCATTATTCCACCTTTTCCCACTGCCCAGGAGTAGAAACAGCTGCAGGGCAGCATTTTCATGAGAGGCAAGTTAGTGCCAATGTTGGAGCATCTTCCTGGGACAACAGGGCTCAGTGCAATTCCTCCAGAGCCTCCCAACCATCTGAGCAGCCTTCACAAGGCTCCCACCTACTGCAGGTTGGAAAATTTTACTCGAAGCCATTCCCAACCAGAAAACACCTTTGGGATTCAATTATTGTTAGCAAAAAGCAGATGCATTAGAAGAAATGATTTTTTTTTTTTGAAAAAAAAAAAGGAGAAAATTATTTTGAATCCAAAAGCTTCTACATTTAATTTTATACTCATTTTAATTTGAAAGATTATGTTGGTTCAAAGAGAAAAGGGAAAGAATTGAAACTGAAATAAAGCATTTGAACTTTCAAAATAAATATTTGCAAATAAAACATTTAAACACATACTGCTTTAAGGTGGGGTTTTTTGTTGTTTCATGGGGGGTTTTTTGTGGTTTTTTTTTTTTTTTGGTGGCTTGTTTGATTTTTTTCTTCTGTTTTTTTTGTTTGTTTGTTTTTTGTCACTGGAATTTAATTTAGGGAAAAATCATATAGTTTTGGAAGTTGTTCAGATTTTTTTTTATTATTATATTTCCAAACCTCTCTCTCTTTTTTTTTCCTTTTAACATAAAGCAAACATTTTCCCATAATCATTATTTCCATCCTATTCATTGATTTTCTAAAGCACACAAAACTGGCCATTGGAAAGGCCACACAAAGATTTCATAAACTTCTTTAATTTCAGAAGGTACCTTTAATGTCCTGGGGAGGGCTGTTTTCATCCTCAGGGAGGAGCAAACACTGCAGATTTCTCCTATTGAGAAAACCAAGATCACGTTTAGCTCACCTGGATTAAGGAACTCACTGGAGGCTCAGATCAGATTCAAGCTCAGAGGAATTTCCATGGGCACTTTGGATACTTTGAGGTCAGGGTAGAAGGGCTCCAGCTTTCACACAAAAGGTAATTTTCTTTGTGCCTCCAACTTGACTCCACCTTCCCCCACAGTCACTGCTACCAAATATGATGTTGGTGACTAGTTCATTTTATTTATTTAAGCTTTCTCATAAATTCTAATTCTGAGAGTCTTGTGGGACCCTCAGAACTGGCCAGGAAGTGTCTGGCCAAGAATTGTGTTCAGTCCTTTCAAAGCTGAGGAAAAGGGACATTTCAGGCAACAAACTCCCCAGGTTCCCTTCCTCTCTGTGGACTTGAGGCCACCCACATGTATTTAAATCAATATTGAAAAATTGATAGGCATATTGGCTTAATTCGACAGTTATTGGTACAGGTATTAACTCAGTTAACCAACACTATGTGATTTGGTCCTGTTGGGCAATTTTTTATCTTTATTTTTATTAATGAGGTAATCATAAAGCTCTATGGGCACTGAAGAGAGACAGTAACCAGCTGCC